GGTATCTGATCTGGCGAATGGTTTGAAACCTGACAGGTACATAGGAGAACCTGTTTCAAAGAACTAGACATTCCTGCTACAAAAATAGTCCTAGAAGATGCTGCCTTGAGACTTCAGGAGGGCGGCTGAGCTTGAACCAGCCTGAACCAGCCAATGGGTGTTGAGTAACCTTCCCTGCAAAATAGTCAGTGATATGCATTAAATTGAACTCATGTATTGGGATAAAGGGGAAAGTGCTACTTTAAGCACTCCGTATGCCTGTATCGAAAGCAGCCTTGTAGAGGGTGACATTAACCTTTTAACTCTTATGCATTTGGATTGCACATACTAATTTAAATACTTAATAAGCCAGTTTTTGCTACTGGTAAATAAAAAATCTTGAATGTTAATAATTTAATTGTATAACATAACATGAAGATCTATCTATCTATCTATCTATCTATCTATCTATCTATCTATCTATCTATCTACACACACATACATACATAGAAACACATATATATGCATATATATACTCACACATGACATGAAGATATATGTATTGTAGTTGACTTTCTTTTTGCAATTGCTTGCATACAATAAACATAAATTTAAAAGAATCATTAACTTCATTCAACTTCAAAAAACCTTTTTCCTAATTTAAATTAATTTTGATTCTACTTATTATTTTAAATATTTTATCCATCCATCCAGAAATGTGTGTCAAGTACCTTTCTTCAAACCAAGATTTCTTATTATGGCTATTGGTTATATTTATACAGCTTGCATTTATAATGAAGAAATAGTTTTAAAAATGTTTTAGATTGATGGAAACACTGATGCACATCACATAAAGTTTTTTTCATGCTTCCCAAAGATAGGAACCCTGTGGATAGGATGTAGCAGATGGGATAAATGACATTTCCCATGACTCAGGGCTAATGTGCAAGCTGTCAGTTGACCCTGGAAGTCTGGGAAATGCTTAATAAATCTATCAAGTGTTGCCACCTTTTGGAAAAGAAAGGAAAAGAGAAAAGGAAACCATACAAAGAGAAGAGACGCATCGTCATCTTCAGGCTGGTGTCTTCAGCTTCGTGCTTCTAGGAGACACCAGCCTGAAGATGATGAATGGGACTTCGTCGAAACATCACCAAGACACTTCCAATTTTACGTGGGAGAAAACCCGAATAACCAAAGACCTACATACAAACACCTGCGAAAACCTCAGAAAACAAATATATATATATATATATGTGTGTGTGTGTGTGTGTGTATGTGTGTGTTAAATTTGGATTGCTAACAAAGAGTTAAAGGGAAGCTGATATAGCTATTTCTTCTTCCCGTATTTGGGCCGACCTGGTGCATCCAAGGTGATCAAATTCAAATGTTTGAGAAGTACATAAGGGAATTCTCATGGTTTTGTCAAGGGCATGCTTTTATCTTTAAATATTTAACAGTGATTGTGCTATGGGCTTGAATCAATATTGCTTACATAAGCTCAAAGAAATATTTACAGTACTCCTCCCTCCAATTGTATCCCTTGACAACTCTATGAGGAAAATTAAGAAATATTAACTGGCCCAAAGCCACCAAGGGAACTCATGTGGCTAGAAGTGGACCTGAATCATGGGCTCCCCGGTCCTAGTTCAATACCTTGGTAAGTGTACCAAATTCAAACCCTGCCTGTTCAATTCAATGGGTTGTGCAACCCATAGACAGGATTCTTTAATGATTCTTCAAGAAGTGAGGCCAATATGTACATTTGCCTATTCTGAGTAAACAACACAGTCAGAAGTGGATTGGCTGAATGGGTGGCTGAAATGATAAATGCCTCACTACAAGAGATAGATCTTGCAAGAATCTATGATACATTTGTTAAAGAACATTCTCCCGAAGGATACCTGACCATCCCCTAATATTCCATTTTTGAGATTCTTGCTCATGAAATAATTTCTCAACTTCAGATTGAATGAAATGGTCTCCTCTCTTTTAAAAGGTGAGCGCCTCATTTAGGATTTTTTTCTAAACATGACCCAGATGTTGACAGTGTCCAGGAGGCCAGTATTCAGGAGGGCCCTTTCCTAAAATATGCAGATCTAGTCAACATGACACTTACATATTATGTAATATCACTACAAAACTGGATTCTTACAGTGCACTTCACACAGCACTGCCTTTAAAGTCTTTGGAAACAACTGCCTAAAAATTATTGTGCAAGCACCCATACGTTAACAAATAGTCATGGAGGACAGATCATCATGGAGAAAATCTATTTATGTGTCTACTAAGAATTGACACCAACTTGATGGCACATGATCAATCAATACTTTAACAGGGCTGACTATAGAAAGCAGACTCTCTTCCAGAAGGAGCTATCTTAGCTTCCAGAGTAAACACTAACCACTGGTTATGACCTTTACAGCTCTGAATGATTTAGGACTATGATATTTTAATGACTAGCTTATCTCATACGATCATGTTCAGAAGCTCTCTTGTTACACCCAACAATTTTTGAGATTCATTTTGAAGAGGATCATTTATGCCTAAACTTTGGAATATCCTTCTCAGGTCTGTTTCACTTCTTCACTAACAATTTTTCAGAAGCGAACAATACACCTTTATAGAAAAGCCTTTGTTGTTTATTCCTCCCTGCTATTTGTGTTTGAGGGGGGGGGGGTTGGCTACTGCTTTGTGTTTTCTGTGTTTATGCACTAAAGTCATTTTAAAAGATCTTTTTTTTTAAAGAGCTTCCTAGAACTGTAGAGACTTTGTGAGATGTACAGTAAAATAAAATAAAACACAATAAACTGCAAAAACCAAAGCTTAATATTTGTTATTCCTAATCCTTACAACACTTAAGAGATTTATCCATGACGTCAACTTTTAAATAGTAATGATTGATTAAACTGTAAGTTTCAGTTGCATTGTTTATTTGACCATAAACTGGAAATTATAAAGCCCACTTCATAAATACTATCCAGAAAGCATAAAGAAGTATTGCAAACTAAATAACATTTTTATAGCCAAGAAGAGTTCAGAATACATCAGCTACACTTAAATAGTTCACAACCAAACTTTGGCCCAGCTACTTTGCGGCAGGGGAAACTGAGACTGAGGGGGATGATGTGGTAGTTCCAAAGCCCATACAAGAGATGAGCTGCACTCCAAATGCAGAACTCTGATCAGAAGCCTTTTGAGAAATTGTTAATTAATTGAGCTTCTGCCCACAAGAACTCTAATTCTAATTTGTGATTTCAAGCTTCCTGGGTGTAGGAGGTAGAAAAGAAAGTTGCAGGATCCAATCTGGGTTGGTCACTGGGACCAGACCCAGTGACCAGTGACCAACCCACATTGAATCCTGCAACATTATCTTGGGACACATATATTTGCCTTCATTCGCAAAAAAAGAAAGTGCTTAGATTAGGTTTGTCTCTCAGATGCTTCTGAGGTTGGGATAACAAGAAGCTAGAATAGTGCTCCAAGGATAATTGAAAATAACAGAGAGATAGATCACAATAGAATTCCTACAAATATAATAATTGGAAATAGGAGTTTCAACCCCAAGTTGGAATCACTCTTTATATAAAGTGTTATATGACATTTACTCTGATATGTTCTAATATTGTTCATTCAGCAATTCCAAAAGACAAATGCAAAAAAAAAGGGTGGTGGTGGTGGTGGTGGTGATGGTATTGTGGATGGAGTGTAATTGAAACTCTGATTCATGTCTTTCTATATTCTTCATTTCATTTTCACAATATGTTTTGAACCCTATAATTTGCAAAATCTCTGTCGGCTGAGAAGATCTTTATTTTATGTGTGGATTCAAATTGGTTGTTTCAGCGGGCAGGACTGGCCTAGGGGTATTTTAAATTGGTTTTAACTAAATCTTAGTAGAAGCGGCCTATTTAAATATTTACTTTTAATCATTTTCTTAAATTTTGTATTTTGTATTGTATTAAATTGTTTTTAAACTGGCTGTAAGCCGCCCTGAGTCCTCCGGGAGAAGGGCGGGGTATAAATATAATAAAATTCAAATTCAAAATAAACGGCATGCCAGATTACAAAATTCTATTGGGCTCTTTAGGGAACAGCGAAGTGTAATGAAATACTGCAGAATAAACGGGCATATTTTTATTATTTTATTTATTAAAATTTTTATGCTGCCTAGCTCTCCTATAAAATGACTCTGGGTGGCTTACAAGTTATATGAGTTCTTTAACATTATGTTACTTAACTGCATTTTGAGTTTTATTTTGTTGTCTAAATTGTTTGTTTAAGGGGTGAACTTGAATACTGATTACTGACCAATACTTCATAGATTCTGGAGGTGTAGCTGGGTAAATTACTATAAAAATTTAATTAATGTCCTCTCCCAAGGAAAGAATTTTATTCTGGGCATCTCCTCTGAAAACCATAATCCTTTCATTGTCTTTGAACGCAGGGAAGGAAGAAATATTGTTTTTTATAGACTTAATAGATTTCTATGGATTCTTTTCATAATTTTTGTATTACCCTATGACATGTTGGCATTACCTTTTGGGCATATTGGCTAAATATTCAGTTCTGCTTTAAATCCCCTGTTTACTAATTATTGTTTACTAAAGTGTTAAGAGTTTTTAATGTGTAGTGTCTTGGGGAAAATATAGTCCTTTTTGGGACTGTAGGTGTGCCAAATTCATCGTGAAATCCTAAATTGTGCTGTGTACACATCGTGCCAAAGTAACATAATAACTGCGCGTGCACATGTGTGGATGTGTGTGAGTCTTTCAGAACGAAAGAAAAAAAAGAGGAGGGAGTGAAACTTTGATCTGTCCCAGCTTTGCTTATATTACTTCGTGACATTTGTGAGGAAGGCAGAATGAGAGAGAGGGAGGGAGAGAGGGGGAAAGAGAGAGAGAGAAAGAGAATGTATGAGTTATAGGAAATGCTCTTTATATAGTCACAAAGTTGGAAGAAAATTACCACCGCTATCATTTGGAGTCATCCAATTTAGTGCCGGGTGTGTGTGTGTGTGTGTGTGTGTAGAAGACAACTAGTGTTTACAATGCCGTCTTTTGATGAGGTTTTAAAACAGGCTGGAGACTTTGGAAAGTTTCAAAAGAAGGTCTTCTTCCTCCTCTGCCAGACTGGCATTACCTTCTCCTTTCTATTTGTTGGGATTGTATTTCTGGGACGAGATCCCGAGCAATATTCGTGCAGGATCCCTGGTGTATCTGAACTGAAGAAGCAGTGTGAATGGACGCTTGAAGAGGAATACAACATTACCATTCAAGCCTCAAGCCTGGTGAATTCTTCGCAATGTGAGAGGCATGACATAAAGTGGAATAACACCAGGCATAATTGTACGTATCCACTGGCTCATCTTACCAACAACTTTGCCGGTGAGTCATTTACTACATGCCAGGATGGCTGGTTATTCAAAAAACCTCACTCAACTATTGCCAGTGAGGTAAGTAAAGGCAACGTTATCCAGAAAATTACGTTTATTTGCATAAGGATATGAAATAAATGTTTATTATTAATGCAAGTCAATAAATTGTATAGATGTACAGTATATAAGGTACTACATTGTACAGTGTAAAAATAGATTTGATATTTGGATTAAGCAGGGTTCCTTTCCTATTTTTCTACACAGTGTAAAAATGTCGTGGATAATATTAGCCTTGTTTCATTGCCTTTTTGAAATAAGTTATATCTGGAGAGAAAGAGAGAGATAGAGACAGAGAGAAAAAGACAGAAGAATGGAGGAACGCTGTTATAGATGTTGGTTTGAATATAGGAATGGGAACAACTTTGAAAATACAACATATTTGCACGGACAGACATTACTGTCTCAGTTACAGAGTTGTGCCTTGGTCCTCCAGAAAAATCAGATATAATTTTTCATTTGAATACATTTTTTTAAAAAAATGTATTCCATTGATGGAGCAGGTCAAAGATAATAGATTCTTTTCCCAACATCTCCCTTTTAGGAGATTCCATATAGTATAACAGGTGAGATCTTTTCCTTGAGTCTTGGAAGTGCTGCTGTCATTTATAGAAGAACATACTGATTGAGCTAAGTGAACAGCTAGCCTTAGCTAGACTAAAGCCATTTTCTTTTAGTTTTTAAATTCCCACCAAATTTCAGGGCAGTAGCATTTATTTTAGTGCAATCTTGGCAAAAATATGAGGTGGGAAGCAACAGGAAGCAACAGCTAATATCTCAGCCAATGCATTTTCAAGACATAACTAATGTGCATAGCACAAACTATTACTTAAAACTACCTAGGCAGTTTACACAAAACCAAATTTATAGCAGCAGCTAGTTGTTTGGCATGGACTGAAAGTCAACAAATCTTGAAACAGCTTTCGAGTGTCAAGAAATACATAATCAGGTGTTAAATGGCTGGAGGGGGAAGGAAAGTAAGAGAAGAGAAAAAAGAGGGGCTGCTCATATGAGCTATGATGGAAGCTCATTTGCTCTTTATGGATGGTCATTAATTCAGGAGATTCACAGACTACTAAAATTGCAGAACTGAGTTCAATTAAACTAGGGAAGACCCTTCAGATAAGGGTCTTATGGGTAAACTAGATAGGAATCACAGCCAGGTAAGCTAATTTTATTTTATTTAAAGCAGCATTGATGGAATCTTGCAAATCTGAAAGTACAATCCTCTCTTCTGTCTCCTTTACAGTCCTGAGTGGGAGGGTCTCTTCTAAGCCTCTTGCCCCACCTACTCTACAAATGTAGGCTATGCTGTCTCTTATCTGACCGTTCCCTTGGCAGCATTTCTTGGCCCAGTTTCTCAAGGTCTTTCCCACATACCATTACACTCTGTGACCTCAAAAGTAAGTCTAACTGAATGCATTGGGGCTTACTTTTAAGTAGGCTTGTATCAGATTACACAGAAGATTGGGCTACACGCCAAACCACATAGTGATAAAAAAAAAGCAATAACTCTTTCATTAAAAAAAAATAGAAATAGTAGCTATTGACCTGCCCAGCTAGGACTGGTGCACATAGGATCCTCATGAGATGCAAGAAGAAAGCATGGCAATCTATATATTATACACTGCATCTTCCTCTTAGGCAGAAACTTCACAAAATGTCTTAAAAACATAATGGACTAACAGAATAATGAGAAGAATTGCTTTATAAGCAACATCCAAAATAAACCCTATCAGCACCATACAAAACCAAAATCAGTGCAGTTATAAAAGATATAGTAAGCAGAAAGAAAACTGCAGGAAGCTACTGGGTAAAGTATGCAGGTTATCCCACTAATCTTATTTGTAATTTGAAAGACAACTATGATAAATGCATGCTTCCTAGGTCCCATAAGATGACAAAGTTTACAAGAAGGAAGCATGGAGCATGCCCTCCCAATGAAACAGGCAATGTTCTTGGAAAGGCAGTCCTTCAAGTACTTATGCACCCATTACTACTCACATCCTGCCTTCTGGACCTATTGAAGCTTCCAGATGGTCTTCAAGGGTAGCCCCAAGTACAGCATATGGCAATAATACAGTCAGGAGATGAGAAAGGCATGAGTGACCATGAACAGAGTTTCCCAGCCCCCCCAAATGACCACAACTGATATAAAAGAAGCCATTGTGTAAAGCCCCCCCCTTCCACATTACGGATGAAACCTGCTCTTCAAGCATGAGTCAGGAGTCCAGATTGTGCATCAAATTTGAATGGGGCACTGCCACCTCATGCAGAAGCAAAGGTGGGGACACTTTAGATCCCAGATCCAGGGGATTCATAAGCATTTATTCTTGGCAAGGCTGAACCACAGCCTCTTCTTCCCCTCTCAGATTCTTACAGCCTCCAGACACTGGGACAGAATAAAAGTAATGAAAGATTAAGATAATTAAACACAATTAAAATTGATTGTCTTTGAGTCAAACTCTTCTTATTTAAAAATAAATTTAACAGATCAAATATATATTGAACAGAAGTCATTCAGTGCCAATCCTATCATATTACATTTGTAGCTGGTTATTGACTAAAGCCAATTTTTTTTTGTATGGGAAGAAACGTACATGTGTATATTTATATTATTTTGTGTAAATATTATTTTTACTTCTTGTATCTCCTGCCAATGCATGCTTTAGATAAATAAAGTAGTAGCAGTTTTATGGGAACATTCCAGCTGTGAGTGGGATTAGAAAAATGGGCAAGTGAAACTCATCTTTTCAAGTCTTATTGTGGTCCTTTCTGCTAATATTTTGTCAATTATTAATACAGAACTGAGGCAGCCAAAGATTTCTTTAAAAGAAAAGGTTGAGGTGTTAAAAGCAGTTACTTTTCTAGTGCGGCTTTCCCCCCACCTTGGCACCCTTTGGGATTGTTAATTGTTCCCACCTTCCTGGTCTAAAGTCTGTGGCATCTTAAGAACAAACCTAGATCAGCTAAGTTTTAGCCATAATCTCAAGCCAATTCCACTGTAACACTCTGACTGAGATCATTTTGAGGCTGTGAACTCAGGAAAGCTGTTCTATCAGCATTAGAAAGATCAACTACCTTAAGCTAAACCAGACCATTCATTTATTTAGCTCTGTATTATTTCACAAAATTGTAGATGGACATCCTTTCCTGCAATTCCTGGAAAACGATAGGAACTGAATTCCTGGCCTTTCGTGCACATGGGCTCAGGGACTTGGCTTGTGACAGCAGCTCTAACCCTGACCTAAATAAACATCTCTAGTAAGGCAATGAGTCAGTTACTATGCACCAATAGGATTTCCTCGTGTGGAAAACTCTGTATGGGTGTTTTATTTATTTATTTATTTAAATTTCAGTTTAGCTCATGCAATGAAAGTCCCTCTCAATAGTGATTTTTTTTTTTTTTTAAAAATGAAATAAACCTCCTGCTGGGAGGATTCAAAAACTGTCAGCGCAATTCTACATGGTCCCAATTTTTGTCTCTTTCTCAGTTATTTATGGCTACTGATATTCATGCAAGAGAAAAGAAGAGGAAAGCCAGCTTGAATCATAGTTTAAGAAGATCAAATTAGGAAGTAAATCTGGCATTGCCAGGCCATTCTGGGGACGCTGTAAATAACCAGTGCATCTTCTTCTCTCTCTTTTTTTTGCAAGTTTATTTTAGGGAATCCTCATTACATACACCTTACATTAAAATGTAAAACACAGAGCACAATCACAACACCAGGTAGTTAATGACAGCACAACAGATAGCTGTAATTGGACTAATTCGCATCACATGCTGGACAAGTTATTCATTTTGTTCTGCTGTCAAATGTTATTATGAATGTTTTATGACTTCATAATGATTCATCAACATAATTCCACTACCCTACTCTATTAACATTCATTGAAAAATCAGACAGCTAGGTGATCTTATAAAAATAAAACAATACAAAAATCCTGAGGATTTTGTCAGGACATAACTCTCCCAGGACGTTGCATCAAATCCTGAGCTCAGATCCAGTCTCCTGGAATATATCAGTTGTTTCCCCATTTTTCCTAATGAGAGGCAAGAAACATTTGTGAGAAAAGAGGAATTATTGCAACACGTGTTCCTGGCTTGTATTCCTACATCATCTGTATTTCCTTAGTGCAGCTTTCCTATTATTCCATATCATAAAGGTAAACAATATACAGCTTGCAGGTGGTCTTCCAGCCTTACTTTTTCAGCCATAACAGCACTCTCAGATTGTGC